TCAGAATAATAGATATGATATGTTTTATAATGATTGATCATGAAAGTGTTCTCAAAGCTGGTAAAGGTGCAGCTAGTTTGAATGACTTTGTATACTGCAGGGTAGCTTGTGAATTTACTCCAGGTGGAACTAAAGTCTGATTTAACACTTGATTATATTTCACATCATTCATCCACATCTGTGAAGTAACTAAAGGGATTAAATACATGTAGTGGAGTAAAAGTACTGTATTTACCTCTGAATTGTAGTGGGGTGGAAATACCTCAAAGTTGTACATAACTTGAGTAAATATACTGAGTTACTTTAAACCACTGTTTCTCTTTCAGCATCCTCTTATCCTGATATCCTGTGTGTGCGTGTGTGTGTGTCTTTCAGAGAGTGCTTCACATAGGAGGCTTGACGCTGAAACACAGCAGGTCCATCCATCACAGTCCTGCATGGAGGAGTCCGCTCATCCCCATCGTGGTGGAGCAGACGGTGAGGGAGCTGTGTGAAAGCTGCACTACACACACTCAGCCTCACTCTGTGGCTACAGTCTTAGAGAGCACCGATGAGAAATCTACGAACAAAAAGTCCAAAATATCCCTGCTCTTGGACAGGAGATGGGCTGTACATTTAGCATGAGCAGTGTAACACCTTACAGAGCAAGATTTTGGGAAAAAATGACAAAATTGCTCTCAAACTGTCAGTATGCTGGTTAAAAAGAATAATAATACAATTAAGTCCTGCCAAGGGAATGGAGATGTTATTCTCCAACAGGTAGACACTTCTGCTATTTATCTTTACATAGCTGCTTTATTATTGCTCTCAATAGAGATCCTTGAAATAGTATTTACAAAGAACCTCCAAAATGTACAAGTGCTTAGGTTGATTCACGGCTCATTGTATATGAATATAAAATATCAACCGAGCCATTTTAGCGGGAGAAAACTAATCAACCTAAAGGACACTTTAAATGTGGTCACTGTTGGAATCACAAAGGCTTCAGAAGTCAGAGCGTCATTGAATGCATCAACAAGGCTAGTCTATGCCTCCAGTAATTGGATCTTAAAATAACTAAAAGCGATTTAAGCAGGTTCCATCAAACTGAATTCAGTGCTTCACACTACATAGACTTGTTTCGTTGGTCATTTATAAACCTTTCTGTCTTTTTCAGGGGAGAGGAGAAAGAGCGTACGACATCTACTCCCGCCTCCTGAGAGAGAGGATCATCTGTCTAATGGGTCCTGTGAGTGTCTCCCCAGATGTGATCAAGACAACTTTTATTTTGACATTTTCAAAGTGATTTTCATTGGTACTCTCTGCCTCCCCTCTCAGATCGATGACAATGTAGCCAGCGTGGTTATCGCCCAGCTGCTCTTCCTACAGTCAGAGAGCAACAACAAACCCATCCACATGTACATCAACAGTCCTGGTAAGACTCACAGCGCACACAAGCCTTTAACCCAGATGGCAGATATTGAAGGATTCAATGTTTATTTGTTTGCTTTGCCATTTAAGATTGGTTTACTTCCTGAACATAGTGACATCATTATGTAACACTCAGGCTTCTATTGGCTAGTGCTCCAACACATTGTCCGTGATTGGCTAAGGCAGGGGTGGGGAACCTTTTTCCTCTCGAGGGCCATTTACATTTTTCCAACATCCTCCAAGGGCCGTACAAATTATTGACCTCTGCTTAAAAATACTAAAATCACAGCCCATTCATTTGGCCTTTCTTTCATGCTGTGCAAAGAAAAAGCAACCTCTTAATCCAGATATCTTACCATGACTTGCGTATGCATGCACGTGCACGGTGTGGCATGACCACCCAAACAGAAAGATATGGACACAAGATGTGTGCAAATGTATTTAGTTTCCTATCCATGTGAACGTGATTTAAGTGGGGCGGGGGGGACCTAACCTCCTCTAGGGGGGTCCGG